TAATTTTTAAAAAAAATATTTTTATTATTTTTATATGTGTATGAGTGTATTGCCTGCATGTACATAAGTGTACCCATGTCGTGCAATGCCCGTGGAGGTCAGAAGATGCTATTGGATCCCCTGGAACTGGAGTTATGGACAGTTGTTAGCTGCCATGGGGGTGCTGGGATTTGAACCCGGGTCTTCTGCAAGAACAGTGTTCTTAACCGCTGAGCCATCTCTCCAGCCCGCTTAGGAATTCTTAATTGGTCTAAGTCTCACCTGTTTGTCAGAGATCTTCCCTAATGATGAACTTGAAACTTTAATCCTCTTTCAACATCTAGAATCCTTTATATGCTTTCTTATCAGATTATAACTCCACGGTTTGTACTAAGTCTTCTTTATCTGTGTATTCTACCCTCCTTCCCATTCTACCCTAAACCATTCCTTAATGCCTCTGCTGCTTGCCCTCTCCATGTTTTAGTTTTATACTATTCAGTTCATTGGCCTTCATCTGTTGCTCATCTGTGCATTAACTTAGTGGAAAGGGGCAGAGGTTGGTAGGTAGCTGAAGATGCAGCCAGGTTTAAGGAGTTAGATGTAAACTGGGATGAGATACAAGTTTGCATGACAGACGAGGTGGATGGAGGGAGGAAAAATTGAAGATTAAGATTTAAATAGCTGGGGGGGGGGCCTGGAGAGATGGCTCAGCAGTTAAGAACACTCGCTGTTCTTGCAGAAGACCCGAGTTTGAATCCCAGCACCCACATGGCAGCTAACAATCGTCTGAAACACCAGTTCCAGGGGATCTGACATCCTCTTCTGTCATCAGCAGGCATTGCACAACATGGGTGTACTTACCTACACGCAGGCAATACATGCATAGAATAAAAATAATAAAAAAATTAAAAAAGATTTAAATATCTATATCTAGAACTTTAAATGGATACTTATGGTACTAACACCTTACAAACTTTTATGTTCTGGCATACACATCATGTATGTTTTTAGGCAGGATAAGAAAGAACTAATAAAATTTCTTTGGCGTTTTATTTACTGTTTACTATTCTAATCATTTCCAACTTCTCCTAAATAGATTGTACAGTAACTTGGGAAATTATATTAGTTAATAGCCATGCATGAGTCTGTTAGTAGCTGAGAAATATTCTACTTAAATCTGAATGTAAGTCCAGTTCAAGCAGAAAGTCCAGATGGAAGTTCTTCTCAGTTGTACAGGGTACACTGATAAGCATTATGATCAAGAAAAGGGAAGTTAGGGGAAGGCATGGATGGGGGAGGGGGTCTGGATTTGAGTGGGAACTGTTGTATGAAATTTTAAAAGTGCAATAAAAAATTAAAAATAAATAGAAAAAGAAAAGGGAAGTTGGGTGGATATTAATATTGACCTTGGAATAAATGATAGAAGCATAAGTCAATTTGGACTTGAATTATGTTTTATTAATTAAACAAATGACACAATAAACCTTTGTGTTTCTACCTTGTAAAAATTTCTACCTTGTAAAAATAATTTATTGAAAGAAAAAATCTTAGTAAGCATTCTGTATGGAATGTTATTTTCAAATTTGATGTACAATATAAATAAACTAATTGTATTAGTCTTACCTTTGTTTTCAGATACTAACTATATTTCTTATTGCTTTTGTGGAGCATACGTTTAAATAATATTATATAAGCTATATCATAATGTAAAATTTGCTTATATGACAGTTCCTTAACATAAAAAGAGTTAATTTGAGATGTAAAACACAAGATATTCTTAAGTGTGCCAAAAATTTGGCCAGAAGCTCATTTGAATTGAAGAATGAAGCAGATGATATGGAAGTAGAAATTAATTCTTTAAAAAAGGTATGTATTTTATTGTTTTTATGATATTATTAATGTATAAGCATAATGATATTAATTTACAGTCTTAGAAGAATTGTTTTATTGAATTTTTGTGGATTTCATAACAATACATCTTGATCATATTTAGACCTCGCCCCTATCTGCACCCCCCATAATCCTCCCACCAGATCATGCATTCTGTCATATATGTTAAGAGCTACTGAGCCAAGTTTGTGTCCCCAAATGTCCCTCTTTAGTCCATCCACTGGAGCCTGGTCGACCTATCTAGTGCCACTCCCTTAAAGCAAACCAACTATTCCTCTTCTGGTAGTCATCAGTTGCCAATGGTTTCTCAGCTAAGGTTGGGGCTTCTTACCCATTAGAAAAGCTATTTGTAAAGACAGTTTAAATGTGGGGGGAAAAGCCAGTGTATTTGCCTCAGATAAGTTTTGAAGCCAAAATGTATTTCAGTTTCTGAATATATTTAAATCTGAGTTTTGGGGAACAGTTTGAATTTCTTTAGGTTATGAGGAAAGAAGATGAAGAAAGAACAAGATGCAGCTTAGTAATAGGAATTGACTCATTTTGTTCTATGGAAGATCATGCCTTATCCCTTGGCCATGTTAGGCAAATACTGTACCTGTGTGCACCCTCAGCCTTGCAGCAGGAATTTAAAGAGCAACAGTTTATTAAAGAGGGAACAAGATAGTAAATAGGTCAAAGAATTTCATCTACAAAAATTTATGATTACAGCTTATCTTTTTATAAATCTTTAGGGAGGTAGGATAAAAAATACCTTAGCCTTTAGGATTTTCTGAAATGCATTTTAGTGTCATTAAGTTGTGGTTTTAAATCACATAAGTCTAAAAAACCTATCTAAGCCACTTCTATTTTTTGAGAAAAATGAGCATAATACCTAATTTTATAAAGTTTAAAAAGTGATGTTGGGGCTGGAGAGATGGCTCGGCGGTTAAGAACACTGGCTGTTCTTGCAGAAGACCCAGGTTCAAATCCCAGCACCCACATGGCAGCTAACAACTGTCTGTAACTCCAGTTCCAGGGGATCCAACAGCCTCTTCTGTCCTCTGTGGCCATTGCACAACACAGGTGCACTTACATACATGCAGGCAATACATGCGTACACATAAAATAAAAATAATAAAATCTTTAAAAAAATTATGTTGAAGATTATATGTGAAGTGCCAAATAACAATAACATAATGTTAGGAATGAGATGCAAATGGGCCCTATTTCCTTTAAAATATGTGTTGACCATGTCCCTATGTAAAGAATCAAAGTCAACTTTGCATATGACTGTCTTTTTTTTAATATAGTTCATTGAAATCTACATTTACTACTTTTATTTTTAAAAAATACTTTATTTGTGCTGGAGAGATAGCTCAGTGGTTAAGAGCACTGGCTGCTCTTGCAGAAGACCCAGGTTCAAATCCCAGCACCCACACGGCGGCTAACAGCCGTCCTTAACTCCAGTTCCAGGGGATCTGACACCCTCTTCTGTCCTCCGCAGGCATTGCACAGCATGGGTGCACTTACATACATTAATTTTATGTGTATGAGTGTATTGCCTGCTTGTATGTAAGTGCACCTGTGTCATGCAGTGCCCACTGAGGCCAGAAGAATGTGTCATATCCCCTGGAACTGAAGTTAGGGGTGGTTGTTGGCCACCATGTAGCTGCTTGGAACCAAACCCAGGTCTTCTGCAAGGGCAGTCAATCAGTGCTCTTAACCATGGAGCTATCTCTCTAGCTCCCTAATTTTATTTATTTTAAAGTTATCATATAAAGTAACAGATTTCCTTTTTGGCCTTTTTATACATACATCTCCCATTTCCTTTGCTTTTTTTCCACTGTACCATTCAGCCCCTAAAAATTCCCCTCCCCATATCACATGTATTCTATTATTCTCCCCTTCTTCCTCCCTTAAAGCCTGTTTTCTACCCTCTTTCTGGTCATATTCTGTTTTCTTGGCCTCTACTCACACTTACTCTTACATAAACACACATACATAACAATTAGAGGCTATGTCCACATATGATAGGACATGAAATATTTTTCTGAGTCTGGGTTACTTCACTAAATATAATATATTCCAGGCCCATCTATTTTTCTGCATACTTCATCTTTCTTTATAGCTGAATAAAATTCCATTGTCTGTGTGTATCACATTTTCATTAGCCATTCATCTCTTGATGGACATCTAGGTGATTTCATTTCCTTGCTATTGTGAAAAGAGCAACAGTAAACATGAATGTGTAGGTATCTCTGGAGTCATACGGGGCCCTTTGGGTATATTCCCAAGAGTAATACAGCTGGGTCATATAGTAGTTATATTTTTAGTTTACTGAGGTGCCTCCACACTGATTTGCATAGTGACTGTACCAGTTTACACTTCCACCACCTTATTATCATTTGTTTTCTTGGTGATTCTGTGCTGAGATGACCTCTCAGTATAGTTTTAATTTTGCGTTTTCCTAATAGATAAAGATATTGATCATTTAAAAATATTTTTTGGTCATTTGTATTTCTTTTTTAAAAAGTTTAAGATTATTTTATGTGTATGAGTGTGTTGCATACATATATGTAAGTGCACCCATGTCATGCAGCAAATGCTTGTGGAGGCCAGAAGAGGGTGTCAGATTCTCCCTGGAGCTGGAGTTATAGATGTTGTTAGCCACCATGTTGGTGCTGGGAACCAAACCTGGTTTCTCTGCTGGAGGAGGTAGCACTCTTAACTGCTGAACCATCTCTCCAGCCCCTCATTTATATTTCTTCATTTTTAAACTTAAAAAAATTATTTTTACTTTTTCTTTGCTTTGACTTATATTTTTTCTTTTGAGAACTACTAGGTTCATTGGCCTGTTTATTGACTGGCAGTTTTGTTTTGCTCATGTTTAATTTTTGCAGTATTTATATGTTATAGATGTTAACTCTTTGAAGTATAGCTGGCAAAGATCTTTTTCCCATTATGTAGGCTATCTGTTCATTCTGTTGATAGTTTCTTTTGCTGTGCAGGAGCTTTTAAATTTCTTGTTAACGCCATTTGCCAATTGGAGCTATTTTCTGTGCTATTGGGGTCCTATTCAGAAATGCCCTGCCTGGCACACCTCTAATCCCAGCACTTGGGAGGTAGAAGCAGAGAGAATCTCTGTGAGACTGAGGCCAGCCTGGACTATATAGCAAGTTCCAGGCCAGCTGGGGCTACAGGGAGAGCCTGCCTCAAAAAACAAACAAAAAGAAATGTCTTACCAATACTTATATTCTATATAGTTCTGTCTGTGGGTGTTTTTTGTTTGTTTTTTGTTGTCGTTGTTGGTTTTTTGTTTTGTTTTGTTTGTTTTTTACAATTTTAGAATTTCTGGTTTTAATCCAGTTTGAGTAGAGTTTTGTTCAATATGAGAGATACAGATTACAGATCTAATTTCATTCATTTTATTGTGCAGGCTGATAACCACTTTTGCCAGCATCGTTTTTTAATAGGCTATCTTTTTTCCAGTGTATGTTTTTGACAGCTTTGTCAAAAATTAGGCATTCATAGATATGGGCATATCTTTGTGTCTTCTGTTATGTTCAGTTGACCTGCATGTCTGTTTCTGTGCCAGGGCTCATGCTGTCTTTGTCTCTGTCTATAGTATAGTTTGAAGCCAGGTAATGTGATACCTCTGTCTGTGCTCTTTCTGCTTAGAATTTCTTTGGTTATCCATGGTCTTTTGTGTTTCCATATGAATTTTGGATTTTTTAAAATAGTTCTATGAAGAATGTCATTGGGATTTTAATGGGAATTACGCTGACTCTGTAGGTTACTTTTAGTAATATAGTCAATATTACTTCTGCCAGTGCAGGAGAGCATAGAAGGTCTTTCTGTAATCTAGAGTCTAGAAGTTTTCCTTGTGGAGGTCTTTTACCTCCTTGTTTAGGTTTATGCTTAGGTTCAATTTTTTAAGCTATTGTGGATGTTATTTTTTTCTAATTTCTCTCTCAGCCCATTCATTATTGGTATATATAAGAGCTACTGACTTTTATATGTTGATTTTGTATCCTGCAACTTTACTGAAAGTGTTTATCAGATTTAAAGTTTTTTGGTGATATTTGTGGGGTCTTTTAAATATAAGATCATATCATTTGCA